TGTGTGTGTGTGTGTGTGTGTGTGTGTGTGTGTGTGTGTGTGTGTGATAATATATAGATAGAGTAGATACAGATTATTTAAAAACGCCTTGAAGGGTACGGAAATAATAATAGTTATACTAAATTTAACCATACTTTAGGTATGTTAATATTTAATAGATATAGGTAATAAGTATATAATTCCATCTACAATATATTTTCAGCAAGCCAATTGCTTATGTATTTTTAACTATATAGAATACTAATCAAAATTTATTGTGTCTTTTTATTTAATTCAATTTTTTATAAATCTATAAAAATTGTGTATAATAATAAATAAACATAAATTATGTATATTAAGTTTCTAACTTGACAGTTTGATTGGAGAACCCGCCCACTAGTAACACACCTGGAAAATGTATAACAAAATCGTTTTCAACGTTGAGAAATTCTTGTACATACTAAAATTATTATAAAATAATATGGCGTATATCAGTATTAAGTTTTTCACAAATTTCTTAAGACTAAATTGATTCTTTAATAACCGTATCAGTTGAAAATTTCTATTTTGGTCCTTGTATAAAGCACTTTTTCTATTTTGAAGGCAACGTTTATTATCTACGAGCTACTTTTTTTTAATAATTACATTTCTGAAGATTTTATTATTTTTATTATTATGAAATGAAAATCTTACATCTCGTGGATTGATTGAACAGAATCTACACTCAATTTAATAACATACATAATCAGTTAAAATGTATAACTTTTTTAATGAACTCATTTTTAACGAATTTTGGTATAACTAAAACCAATATTGTATTGTATAGTTCTTGAAGAAAGAAGCTGACTGTGACAAGACTGACGACCGAAGCATTCAAGGCGAAAGCTCTTCAGAATACCGGAGTATACCAGATCCGGTAAGCATAAAATATTATCTGTTTATTTATTCATTTAAATTGCATCCATTCCCATTGTTATTAAATATATTTATATATATATAATTAAAATCTAACTCAAAGTAGTATAAATGAAAAATATTCGTTTTTTTATAACGAGACTGAACATAATTTAGAGAAAAAAAAACTAGAACGAATTATACAATTTTTTTGGCCATTTATTGATATGGTGTGGCTAAAAAATATTTAAATACTTTTATACAAACTAAGTGCAGTCTCAAGAAGTTGACTTCAAAAAAATTATTTATTATTATTTAATATATAATATATATACATATATATGTATAGGATCATTTGATTTACTCACCAAATTCTGTAATTATCATTGACACTTTAAGCGATAAATGTTGACAACTGTATAATTTCTGTATTAATCATAAAGTGATGACAATTTCAGAGCTAAATTGCTACACACTGAAACTTCCATGATTTGTATGATGTTATTATAAATTTATTTAAAAATAATATGAATTAAAAAAAATATAACATTGTACAAAATTTAATTTTCAAACCATCGCAAATAAATGTTGATAAACTTATTATAATTGTGATTAATTATTTTAGTTAATTTTATTATTGCCATAATTATGTTTTATGGACACATAATCGTCATTAAAATTGAACTTTTGGTTTCACTCAATTTGATAAGTTTTTTTTATTTTCAACTTAATTCGTCACCTAATTTGAGTATAATAATTCTAAACATATTTTAGCCAGCCGTTCAACATGAATATGTTTTTTCGTTCTATTTGATTTCTTTAACTTTGATACTCTTCACAAACCATTGTATTTTATACGGTTAAATAAAATTATTTATAACCACCAAATACAGAATTATCTGTAATACTTAAGTTTATAAACTTGTTGGTGTGTATTAAGTTGTATGAATATACCCATGGATTAAAATCTCTTTTTAAAATGCACAAAATAATATCATAAAACATTAATATTCTTAGGATTTTATACATTGTATACCGCTTAATCCTACTTCATATTGTTGAAAAACTATAGAAATTTCATTATTGTAAGTCGGCGAAACTCTATATCGAGTACTATTTGAATGTTATAACCATGGGTTCATTTTTTTTCTCATTTTTATTTTAAATTGGTTGAATACCTATTTACTAGTTATAACCGTTTACTATAATCAATTATTATGAAATACACCCGAAGACGATTGTATAAATAAAATACAATATGTACTTATCACAGGCACAACCGGGGTTCAAATTCAATGAGAAATCTACGACCCAATTCAAAATTGTATAATTTTTATTTTTATTATCTTCAGTATTTTTCGAATTTTGTAATGACACATAACAAGACTGACGAGTCTTAATGAATACGCGGTCTAAAGAGAGCTTTATAATATAATAGTTTAGACGGTCTTAATTGGTCCTCAAAAAGTAGTAAGAAACAATTCTCCTCATAGCAGTTGGTCAAATAAGGAAAATTGGGATTTAAATTACAAACTCCGGGGGTCAAGCACCATTACCAACCCTAGTTGTGCCGTATCACCGCCTATTATTACTATTATATATATACGATGCGACGAATCGACCAAAAAATACTAACTACGCTCAGTAGTAACGATTGTTAAAAATGTAACTGCGAAAACTCGCCAAACCAGAAACGACCTACGTTACGTTCATTTCATTTAAATTTCGCATTTGCATAATACCACTGCTCTACCAATGTTCGGTGCGGGAATTATATTAATCGTTAACCCGTGTGATCATAAATTTTTAAAAAAACCGTGCGTTTTGTACACGTGTATTTTTATTTTTTTTTTTTAATAATAATATTATAATACACTTAAATATTATATTGTGCGTTTTCTTAAACGAACGGTGCGCGCTGATTGGAGTTTTCGATCGTAAAATATTATACTATATTTTACATATACATATATATATATATATATATATATAAATATATTATATGTATGTATGGCCTGGCCGCACCTGTAGCCAAAACAAAAATGACAAAAAAAAAAAAACAACGTCAACTTCTTGTGCTGACACTATTATTTTGTCCTCCATGAGTATTATTTACTCGACAGTATATCAATAATATTACACAAATTTTTTTTGTTTTTTTTTTTTTTAACTTTTTATCTCCTCGATTTTTTTTCCACGCACCCTTTTACGTAAACGATTATACTAAACGAAATTTACCAGCGAAAAGAAGTTGATGAGAGTTATTTTTTTTTTTTTTTGTTTTTTTCGTTTTGGTTACAGGAACGCGACAGCAGGACGACCACGACGACACCCACGCCGACGACCACGACGGACTCCGTCGTCGCTTTGGCCGCCACGACACCGCCGCGGTTTTACACGTGCTTGTACTGCAACCTAACGTTCCCGCATCAGAGCAAACTGACGCGACACATTCTGTCGCACAGCCTGGACAACAACCAGTCCGGCGGCACGTCGTTTACGGATCCCGGCAGCGGTAGCGGCGGCATGACCGTGCCGCCGCCTCTGTCGTCGACGGCGGCGCTGTCGCTGTCGCTGCTGTCCGCGTCGTCGTCGTCGGCCGTGGCCGCGGCGGCGTCGTTGCAGCAGGCTTGCGGCGCGATGGACGACGGCGGGCGGTACACTGTGCAAGTTTTGCGGCAAAACGTTCCGGACGTGGCCACGCTGGTCGGCCACTCGCCCGCGCACACCGGCGACTGGCCGTCTGGGCGTACGAGTTCTGCGGCAAAGCGTTCAAGCTTCGACACCACATGAAGGACCACTGTCGCGTGCACTGGCGAACGGCCATCCGGTGTGCGCTGCGGCGACGTTCAGCCGGTCGACGATACCAAGCGCGAGAAACGCACTCCGGTTACGGGCCAGCATCGGTTCGTGTCGTCGCCGATCCGAAGAGGAACCCGGAGGAGGAGGAGAATACGCAACTGAACGGCATACCGCA